CTAAGTCAGCTGACACTTACAGCCTCATCCACCGGCTGACACCTGAACCATCCTCCAGTAAGAAGTCGTGGTACAGTTACGAGAAGGTGAGCCCCGATCAAGCTGGTTCACAACTGTACTGCAAGTATTGTAGACTCTATGGACATACCATAGACAAGTGTGGTAAGTCTCAATACAAGGGAACCACTGACCAACAACGACCCAAACCAACTCCTCCTAAGTCCGGTAAGCCTGTGATGAATGTTGGTGTTGATGTTAATGATCTTTCTCTTTTCAGTAACCACCTGTATACTGGAACTGTCTCTGCCAACGGTTCAAATCCGGAGGGACGTTTCAAATTGAAGATCTTGAGGGACACAGCGGCTCTACAATCGATCATCTTGAAGTCGGCTGTGCCCAACATAGTCTACACCGGGGAAACGGTCTTCATCACTGACCTCACTGCTACTACTCCATACCCTCTCGCCAGAGTCCACCTGGATTGTCCCTACGTGAACGGGGAAGTCCAAGTCGCCGTCAGGGAAAAGCCTTTTCCCATGCCTGGAGTGCAACTTCTCCTAGGCAACGACTTGGCAGAAGACCTGCAACCAACCAACCTGATCGTCATGGACAAACCCCAGGTGTGTAACTCTGTGCCAAGTAACCCTATTCTTGAGTATGTTCCAGCAGAGGTTCAAGAGAGTGATGAGTTTCTCCTCCGGTTCTCGTGACCACCCGTGCACAAGCCGCACGTCCACAGCCAGCTGACTCTACTGCTACCGCTGTCCCTCAAGACCCTCAGAAACTACCCCCGCATCTGACCAAGTTGGAGTTCCGTAAGTTGCAGAGGGAAGATCTTACTTTAACACCATTGTTTTTCCAGGCTGAGACTCAACCCGACAGTATTCCTGGGTTCTTCCTAGAGAACGACTTGCTCTACCGCAGATATAGACCCAGTAAACTGAAGGAGGAGGACGATTGGGCCAACACCGAACAACTTGTGATTCCCACCAGCCTGCGGCCCACTATTCTACACCTGGCCCACGGAGCATTCTCCCACTACGGCTTCAACAAGACTTACCATGGGATTCGTCAAGACTACTACTGGCCAGGTATGGTAAATAACGTCAAACAGTACGTAAAACAGTGTCATACATGTCAGATGGCAGGCAAACCGAACGTCTCCATTCCCAGAGCACCACTGATTCCCATACAGGTGCCTGCGGAACCTTTCCACAGACTCATAATAGACTGTGTTGGTCCTTTACCTCGGACCAGTTCAGGTAACGCCTACATCCTAACCATCCTGTGTCCTACCACCAGATTTCCCATAGCAGTTCCAGTGAAGAACATCACGGCTGCTACGGTTATCAAACATCTATTGAAGATCTTCACTCAATACGGATTTCCCAGGGAGATTCAAAGTGACTGTGGCACCAACTTCACCAGTGATCTCTTCAAAAGGACACTGGAGGAGTTCAACATCAAACAGGTATTGTCCAGCCCCTATCATCCTGCTTCACAGGGTTCTCTTGAACGTAGTCATCAGACCATCAAAGCACTCTTGAAAAAGTTTTGTAGTGAAACCTCAAAGGATTGGGATAAGCAGATTGACCTAATAATGTGTATTTTCAGAAGTCTCCCCAATGAGTCCCTAGGAGTATCTCCTTATGAGATGCTCTACGGCCGTAAGTGCCGTACTCCCCTTAAGGCTTTCAAAGACTCTCTCAGAGATGCCACCTTCAGTGAGCATCAGAATGTGCCCCAGTTTCTTCAAAACCTTCAGCACATTCTAGAGAGAGTCCACCGCTTTGCCCATGATAATCTATTGAAAGCCCAGGTGAGAATGAAGACTCATTACGACCAGACCAGCAAAGTAAGAAAATTCAAGCCGGGAGACTTCGTCCTTGCTTATTTCCCTATCCCAGGTTCACCTTTACAAAACAGATTTTCAGGACCCTACTGCGTCAAAGAGTGCAGGAATAATAATAATTATGTGATAGAGACTCCAGATAGGCGGCGGAAGACCCAGCTGTGCCACGTCAACCTCCTGAAGCAATATAATGGTACTCCTCCCACTGTCTTGACTAATTATTCCACATTCACAGAACCCTACATCCACAGTGAGACCTTCCCAGCTTCTCCTCCCGAAAGCACTGACAAGGAGTCAGCGCTTTCTAATTCCGAAATCCTTAATGATCTTCCCAAATACTTTCAGGATAATCATAGTGCACCTCTCGTCAAGATCTTCAGAGAACATCAAGAGTTGTTCAGAGATGATCCCCAAGAGTGTAATGTTACCCAGCACGACATCCAACTGCTCCCCGACACCCGGCCGATTCGTCAACCCTTCTACCGAATCAGCCCGAGCAAGAAGGAAGTCATGCGTGCTGAGGTGCAATACCTCTTGGATCATGGACTGGCTACACCTTGTGAGTCCCCCTGGGCCTCACCTTGTATCTTGGTGCCCAAACCCCAAGGTAAGGTGCGGTTGTGCACTGACTATCGAAAACTGAACTCTGTCACTGTCAAGGATGCTTACCCCTTGCCAAGGATAGATGACATCCTTGATGCCATTGGTAGTGCCCAGTACTTGTCCCAAGTGGACTTGCTTAAGGGGTACTATCAAGTGTGTCTAACGGAGCGCGCTAAAGAGATATCTGCCTTCATCACTCCTTTTGGACTTTTCAGATATGAACGCCTTCCTTTCGGACTATGTAATGCCCCGGCCACCTTTCAAAGAGCTGTCAACCGTGTCATCCAGGGCTTGGATAACACATACGCCTACCTGGACGATATCGTCGTAGCCTCCAACTCCTGGAGTGAACATCTGCTCCAGCTGCGACGTCTGTTCTCCAAGCTCCTGACAGCCGGCCTCACCATCAACCTGGGCAAGTCCACTTTCGCGAAAGGTAAAGTGCGTTATCTGGGTCATGTTATTGGGAGTGGCAGCATAGCTCCGTTAGACTCACACACTCAAGCCATCCTACAGTATCCACAGCCTACCACCAGGAAGCAGCTCCTGCGCTTCCTTGGTCTTGCCTCTTACTACCGTAGGTTTGTGAGGAATTTCAGTACAGTCGCCACACCTCTAATTCTATTAACCAGTCCCAAGCAACGGTATAATTGGACCATGCAGCAAACCGTTGCTTTCGAACAACTCAAATTCCTCCTCTGTTCTAACCCCATTCTCGCCTCTCCAGATATCACCAAGCCTTTCGTCCTTCATGTCGACGCCAGTGGTACCGGCGTTGGTGGTGTCCTGATGCAACTACGAGGCGAGGAGGTTCTACCTGTCAGCTACTACAGCTACAAACTGAAACCACACCAGAGGAACTACAGCACTATTGAAAAGGAGCTACTATCCATCGTCCTGAACCTCCAACACTTCGCTCCGTACCTACAAGGCGCCAGGTCTACCACCATCTTCTCAGACCACAACCCTCTCCGCTTCCTACATCAAGCCCAATTCACCAACCAGCGTCTTCTACGATGGGCTCTGTATTTACAAGACTTCAACCTGGAGATCCGCTATATCAAGGGTTCTGACAACACCATAGCCGATGCCCTCTCCAGAGTTTATGAAGTAGAAGCGACTCCATCCATTACTCCACCACATAACGACGTACTTCTTCCAGAACCGCAGGCTTCGGGGGAGAGTTGTGACGATAATCTCCTTCAAGAGATTGAGCCTGCTCTTCCCTCCAAAATTACGTCTTCACAACTATATAAAAGACTATGGAAGAAATGTCCAACAACGACAACAAACACCAGCAAGGCTTGCCAGGGTGAGCAGAAACGTATGCAACCAGCCACCTGTTCGAACTCCAACCACCAAACTACCCGTTGATCGCTACGACTCCGCTGATTGGTCGCCGGTCTGGCTGCACCTGCACTCGCCCCCAATACTACCTGATGTCTGGGGTCACCCCAACATCAGTCCTCAGAATGTTCCGTGCTTTCGTAGCCAGCACTCCTCCCAGCTAGACGTTAGCGTGTACTGAGAGAGGTGGTGGCTTTAAGCCAATATTCCAGCACCTCCCACTTACTGTTGTATTGCACTTCTTGTTATTTTGCCTTAACGTAACTTTTCATTGTGTCATTTAAGTATTCTTATTATTTTGATTGATTGATTTTATTATACATATTTGTTTGTGCATTATTTTCATGTTTTGATTTATTTAACGTAATTAAAATTTCATTGTTAAAGTTTTACTTGTGTTTTGTGTGTCTTCTCCTTACCTTACCACAGACGAAGTTCCAGTTTTTCTATTTTTTTTATAACTATGTGACGAGGCCATACCCCTAGCCTTAAACAGCCGAACACCAACGCGTTACCGTCACAATATATATTATATATATATATATATATATATATATATATATATATATATATATATATATTTACCATAGACAGATATAAAATTTCAAATTTCAGTTGAAAATAGTGTACCTGAAGGGTCTGGACAGCTGGGTGGAGCTCAGTAAAAAGCGATGATATATGCCTTCAGGGGTCAGTAACCTTTCTTTGGTATTGATTTTATATCATGTCTTATAATCCCAAGACGTCAGCCACTATGTTTTTATATCACTATATATGAACAACGTCCTTTAACAAATGACCTGTTCGGTCTATAAGAGGATTACGATTAAAATATTTGAGCATGCGAGGGAAGTCGTGTTACTCTATCAGCGTGACAGTCACAAAAAAAAACTTGCTGTCATGGCGACCAGACACGAGAGAGTCCGTGTCTTGCCTTTTGACTCTTGCTGTCAACCGTGACGACCGCTGCCTTGACCCACCTCTCTCACGTACGTGTCTCTTGACCTATAACCCCTACCCACTCATTCTCTCTCTCCCTCTCTATCTCTCTCTCTTGTTTCCCAGTTTTCTCCCGCTCTGTCGTCTGAATCAAGTCTCCATGCTATGCTCTCTGTCTTTTTGCCTCGATATATTTAGTTCCCTCAGTCCATTTACGTAGTTCAATTCCCACAATTCCGGAACCAGTCGTGTAGCAAACCTCTGTACTTTCTTCAACAACACTTTCTGGTTTATGAGGTTGGCGCTCCACGCTGGCACTGCATAATGTTACATTAGTCGACAAAAATGTTATGTTCAGCATTTCAAATGCATCCTTGTTTAGGTCCCAGAAGGTTGTAACGATGTCCTCCAGCTCTCGATGTGTTGCTGAAATGACTGTGTTTGTGCGCGACAAGTGATGGGTTCAGTGCTATGTCTACTACAAAATCACTGGTTCTGGTGCATTCCTCTTGCACACTGTATTCTTCTGGTCTCCTATCTTCATCATGCCCCCCCCTCCCCACCTTCCATTTGTATGGATTAAAGTACAGGAGGCTCTTCCTAGAGCCTCTCTAGGAAGAGCCTCTATTGAAGTCTTCCTAGAGCCTCTGCATGTTCGATTGCCCTGATTTCTTCTCCTCAGAATTGTGATATAAAAATATTGATCAGTGCAATGGTTTTATCATAATCATATGCTACATGAGAGACCGATATCAACAGCGCTGGCAGCTCTTCATATCAAACTCCGGATCCGACTAATAATTATGACAAATCCAAATTTTGTTTCTTTATATATATATATTAAAAATTTTTAAGACAATTAATTTGCCTCTGTATTTATTAGAGATGAGCTTGATATTATGCATATTTGTATGCGATGAAGAGAACAGGTTGGCAAGTTTAGTTGGTATTAAACGATGCGAGTAATTAAAGTATTTAGAGTAAGGAAAAATTGCATTGAACTTACTCACTCGTCTAGTTGTGCATGCTGGAGATTGAGCTTCGGCTCTTTGGTCCCTCCTCTCAACAGTCAATGAACTTTTGTACAGACTCCTGAGCCTATTGGGCTCTATCATATCTTCATTTGAAACTGTTTATGGAGTTTGTCTCCACCACATCACTTCCTAACGCATTCCATTTGTTACCTACCCTGACACTAAAAAAAAAACCTGCTAATGTCTCCGTGGATCATTTGGGTACTAAGTTGCCACCTGTGTCCCCTCGTTCGTGTTCCACCCGTGTTAAATAGTTTGTCTTTGTCCACCCTCAAATCAAATCATCTCAAGATAACCCTGTCAGTTCGTCTGAGAAGTGTTCGTTGTGATTATGTCTCCCCAACTCTTCTGTCTTCCAGGGACGTGAAGTTTTGTTCTCGTATAATTTTCTCGTAGCTCATACCTCTCAGTTCTGGGACAAGTCTGGTGGCATACCTCTGTGAAAAATTTCTAACTTTGCCTTATGTTTAACTAAGTGTGGACTCCAGGCTGGAGCTGCATACTCCAAGAGTGATCTGACATAAGTGGTATACAGGGTTCTGAATGATTCCTTACACAAGTTTCTTCGCTCAAATTGCATAACGTCTGTAGGAAATAAATTGCTTAAATCGTTAATCAAAAAAACATTCGTTTACATTTTAAAACAGATTAATAAGCGACTGACTCAGGGTCGACTCACTTAATTATACTCAGGGCTACCTATTTTTAACAACTTTACTCTCATTTTTGTCAATGTATTTCAAACAATCGATAGCGATAGGAGAGTGTGGCATTCAATGTCTTGACTTCAAGAGTCGTTGAAACTGTGCCTCACGGACTGATTCAATAGACGGCTGAATTAGATCGTGATCAGCTCAAACAAAGCAGAGAATTAACATAAATGGAATCAAGTCGTTGTGGGAAACCGTTGTAAGTGGAGAGCTCCGAGGCTCGGTTCGCCGACCTCTCTTGTTCATCATATATATAAACGCTTAGAAAAAATAACTTTACAGAAGCATATACAAATCTGCAGACGATTTACACATAAAATGGGAAGTGACACGAGTTCAGAAGGCTCAATATCGCTACAGGACGACCTCGTGAGGCTTTTAGAAGGGCCAAAAGATTTACAGTCATTTAATGTTAACGAATGTAACATTCTGAGTTTAGATGATATTAATGAAGCTACTAAATAACACCAGGAAATTGACACTTCGAGAAATAAATTCCGGTATCCAATTTTCTTCATTGAGTTTTAATGATTTTTTTAGGTATTGATTATATTTTTACATAAGATGCCTGCTGAATATGACTCGATGATCTTTCTCGCATGTATGTTGCAACATCATGTTGAAACATGTGCAACTTTCATGTTGAGCTAGACAATGTGGAAACTGCAACATTAGTGCGCGGAGAATGTCCAACTGATATCTAATATCTCAATAATTGCACCTAAACTCTGATCTCTACACTTTTCTTCATTAAACTACTTCTGTCAGTCTTTTGTCTATTTTGAACGATTAAGTAAATAATTTTTTACTTCTGTGTCTTGCAGACGATAGATCACACTGCTAGGGCAGCAAATTAGACACTTAACCCGCATATAACACTTAATTAGACACTTACCCTACATATAACACATAATTAGACACTTAACCCACATATATGAAAATATACGATGTTACGGTTTTATCAGTCCGTCAGGAACCATTATCAAGTCGTATAGAGAAGAAGTGGTGGAGAAAGTCAATATATAAAGTTAGAATATGAGGGGATAGGCCAGAAGGTGAGAAGTACAACAGAGGAATTAATGGGAATAAACTGCAAAAAGACGATTTGAAGTAGAGAAAAAGTAGATAGCAAAAGAAGGAAAAATTAAAAAAAGAATGTATAGGGGCTAAAGTTAAGTCAGATCATGTTTATTAAGAAGTTTAGAGCATGTTTAGCTATGGTCTGTGAAAGGGAAGAGTCATGTTGGGTATCTTGTGTATCAGAGCAGAGTCGATAAGACGGCGTCTATGTAGAGTAGAGGTAGAAAAGATTATTCTAGAAGAAAACCAATCAATGCACTGATTGGAATCCCTAACATGACAGAAGAGAACATTCTGTGTGTCAGCACACTGAACACTTCCTTGTGTTTTTAGTCATTAAGAACACGGCCAGTTTCAATAAAGGCTTTGAAAGGACAAGATGAACAAACAGAAAAACTAAACTTGCTTCCAGTTCTGTGCCTCCTCTTTATGTCAGAATATCGTCCACTTGACGTAAAACTCTCCGGCCGACAGACCGACACAGTTCGTAGTGTGCTGGTTCCGGCTGCTCCTCCTGCTTCCAATGTTGCTTGTGTTTGAACAAATCCACAAGGGCCGTGAAGAGGCTTCGAACCTACGTCCGAGAGGATCCCAAACGCTGCCGATTAAGACGGCAGACGCTGACGCTGATGAAGGCAGCGTCTGGGATCCTCTCGGATATAGGTTCGAATCCTCGACAAGGCCCTTGTGGATTTGTTCATTTATCACGCTATTGTGATTTTCTATGTGTAAATACTTGTGTTTATTTCCTGTTTCACTTTTCCTCTCTGATACTTTGGTGCAACACCGCTCAACACTTGCAATACCCCACAATTCTGGTACTCTGCTCGACTCTACTGATATATTAAATATAGAAGACAAGGGCTAACTATGCTCTTCTTTACATCTATCTATATAAATAAAAATGGAAATGTTCGTTTGTTCAAAATCGCTAATCTCCGAAAGTTCTTCACTAATTGCTTCGAAATTTTCACACAACGTTTCATTCGCATCCGACCGGGTTTCTATATGCATACTATATAGATGTCACGTCTGTGACGGGAAAAAAACATGTTTTTTTTTTTTAAATTGTTTTTCATATGTTTTTCATGCGAGGGAAATCTTCAAAATCCCTTTACCGATTGCTTTGAAATTTTGACACAACGTTGCATTCAAATAGGCGCGTGTTTTTATGTACCTTCTATATACATGCCTCGCCCGTGACAGGAAAACCATGCTCCTTTTGAAAAACAGCTCCATCTGTTGGACATAAGAGCAACACACGCTGTAATTTTCGAAATTTCTTCATCGATTGCTTTAAAATTTTGACACAACCTTCTATTAGAATATGCGCGTATTTTTACATACCTACTATATAGATGGCACACCTGGGACAGGTAATTTTTTTTTTTTAAACAGCACCATCTGTTGAACGTAATAGCTACACACGCTATATTAAATATGTTACGATTCTATTTCAATATTTCCGATTGCATTGATAAATTGAATATTCATAATTTTCGATTTATTTTCATTTTGATTTAATTATTTTGTGTGACATTGCATTGGAATTGTGTTGTGTTGTTTATCATACCGTTCATGTCGTAAGTATAAGTATAGATGCCACACCTGTGACAGGTAAAAACATTATTTTTTTATGAAACAGCGACATCTGTTGCACGTAAGCGCATCACAGGCTGTACTAAATATATTACGATTCCATCTCAGTGTTTCCGATTGCACTGACAAATTGAATTTTCATAGATTTTGATTTATTTAATTTTGATTTAATTATTTTGTGTGACATTGTGCTGGAATTGAGCTGTGTTGTTTACCATACCGTTCATTTCGTGAGTGTTGTTTATTTATTTATATTTTTTCATTGTTTAAAATTATGTCTTTTGTAACTGTTTTTCTTTTAATTAGGTGATGGGGACATCAGCTCATTTGATGTTCCCACTGAATGATCTGATGTTTTCCCATTCCCCATGAGTGGGGACGTCCCCCCCCACCATTCCCCATGAGTGGGGACGTACCCCCCACCATTCCCCATGAGTGGGGACGTCCCCCCCACCATTCCCCATGAGTGGGGACGTCCCCCCCACCATTCCCCATGAGTGGGGACGTCCCCCCCACCATTCCCCATGAGTGGGGACGTCCCCCCCACCATTCCCCATGAGTGGGGACGTCCCACCCACCATTCCCCATGAGTGGGGACGTCCCCCCCCACCATTCCCCATGAGTGGGGACGTACCCCCCACCATTCCCCATGAGTGGGGACGTCCCCCCCACCATTCCCCATGAGTGGAGACGTCCCCCCCACCATTCCCCATGAGTGGGGACGTCCCCCCCACCATTCCCCATGAGTGGGGACGTCCCCCCCACCATTCCCCATGAGTGGGGACGTCCCACCCACCATTCCCCATGAGTGGGGAATGGTGAGGATTACGAGGGGACGGGGAAGTTGGGGATGGTGGGGACGAGGGATCAGGGGCATAGGGAATGCTGGGGAGAACAATGGGACAGGGACGTGAGGAATGGTGGGCAGGATGAGGGGACGGGAGAGAGGGGAATGGTAGGGAGGATGGGACAGGGAGTAGGGGATGGTCAGGAGGACAAAGGGATGGGGAAGGGGGGAATGGTCAGGAGGACGAGGGGACGGGGGGAGGGGGTATAGGTGGGGAAGACTGGGAGACAGGAGAAGGTTGCTGTGGCTCAGCAACCTTCAGCACCGCGTGGCCGTATTCCTGTGGACATATTGGGCTTTTTATTCTTCAATTGTTGAATAACGTCATCATTACCCTGGAAACACAAACCAAATCTGTCTCTATTTTCCGCTTGTTACAACTTATAATAAAGTTGTTACATCTTGGCTTAACGTGTTTATGACGTATTAGAACGTTGTTACAACTTGCTATATTGGTTGTTATAACTGGTTAGGAGGTGTTAAAACTTGTTCGAACGTTGTACCAACGTCGTAGTTTCGGTGTGTGTTTGGCGAGTAGTAATCATTAAACTACTCAACTACTCTCTAAGTGCATAGATTTGTTCAGTTGCAGGCATAATATAAAGTTTTTCACAAGTAAATACCCAAAGTAGTTGGTAAATACATCATTCATTGCTTTGTCATTGTCAGTTATCTGATCTGTTTCATTATCAAATGATCAGGTTTTTAAATGGTTCAGTCTTTTCCCTAATCTTTGTTTTATATACCTACTAAAAACTTTAATTGTATTTACCTTCTTTGCTATGCGTACTTCATTATATATTTACGCATTACATATTATTTTTTTCGCGTTTGTTTAAAAAACTGTTATTTCAGGCAGACTTTAACAAACATAATTTGTGTGTTGATCGTCCTCTTTTTTCCCCCTATAATATTCTTCAGTCTCAAAGTTATCGATCTCTGGTCAATGTTTGACCTAAACAATATAAATAGTTCCTGACCTTTATTATGAGTGTTTTGAAATCTTACAATTCGGATCTTCATTGTAACCCAATGTCATTATACCAGACGCATGCCAGGTCCCCAGAGGAGCATCATGAGGTAAATTTAGGTATCATCTCACGGTCCCAAGTAGATACAGCATCCCGACCCCCTGTAGCAACCTGGACACCACAACCTGGTGTCCAGGTTGATCAGGTATCCCCCTGTAAGGATACCTGATCAACCAGGCTGTGACTCATACGTCAGGCTGCGAGCAGCCGCGTCTAACAGCCTGGTTGATCAGTCCAGCAACCAGGAGGCCTGGTCGACGACCGGGCCGCGGGGACACTAAGCCCCGGAAGCACCTCAAGGTAACCTCAAGGTAGATACAGCACCCTGACTTCCTGTATATACAGCATCCTGACTTCCTGTATATACAGCATCCTGACTTTCTGTAGATACAGCATCCTGACTTCCTGTATATACAGCATCTTGACTTCCTGTAGATACAGCATCCTGACTTCCTGTATACAGCATCTTGCCTTCCTATAGATACAGTATCTCGACTTCCTGTATATACAGCATCCCGACTTCTTATAGATACAGCATCTCGACTCCCTGTAGATACAGTATCTAGACTCCCCGGAGATGCAGCATCCCGACCCCACGTGTAAATGTTATCTTCACTTGTACATTTTGTCATGACGGCCTGTAGATAGCGTCTTTACTCCTTGCTGGTCCCCATAGCTCACTGACGAGCCCCGACTAATAGACACCCAGCTCCTGGGTGTCTATTTACTTCTACGTGAACAGTGGCCACAAGAAAAAGGGAAGCATTGTTCAATCATCTCTGCCTTGTCCAGGAATTGAACAAGGGAATCCATGGCTGTCATCCGACGACGAAGACCACTCTGCTACAGAACCAGTATTACCACAGAAGCTGTCATATATCGTCCGCCTAACTATTGATGCCCATATTGTTACTCTGCTTTGAAAGTATTCATTTTAAATATTTAAATATTTATATAGTCTTCAGTACGACTATTTATAATTCTAACCAGCAATTTTTTCCGTCGCAAAGAGTAAAAGCCAAAAACCACATCAATTGTACTCAACTAGTTGTGCTTGCGGGGGTTGAGTTTTGACACTTTGGTCTTTGGCTACTCCCCCTTCTTCTCTTTGGCTACCCCCCCCCCCCTCCTTGTCTAATATATCTGTGTGAAATAGTTTAAATTCATTAATTTTATATTCAGCTAATAGTTCTCTATTTTCTACCTTCATTCACGTTTAGGTAAGTCCAATAATATCTATTTTTTCTGTGTATACAAGAGCATTTAAATAGCTTATTTTGTTTCTTAGACTTCTACTGTTCGTGTAATATACCCTAAGTGACTTGTTATTTTGAGGCCGTTCTCTTTCTCTGTTCATTATGTCAATTTGTTTTCCCAACCAACACATACTGTTATTGCCTCCTTTCTCCATATAAATTCCCATACCACTATCAACTTCAAATTTAACCCAAACAAACCCCTCTAATCACAGGTTCCAACGAGTTGGCAACAGCAACAACCCCAGCCCTACATAGATGCACCCCATCCTGAGCATACGTGTCATTTCGTCCTTAGAAGTGTTCCCAGTTATCAATGAATGATATTGCATTTGATTTGCAATATTTTTTCGAGGTGACAATTGACTCCAAGTGCCCTCGACAACCATTCATTTCCAACTCCCTTTCTTGGAAGAATCTCACATATGATCGGGATTCCTCCCTTGCTCTTAATTAATTATATGGCTGTCTTAAACCTCTGTATCAGTGCCTCACTCCTAACTCATCCAACATCATTTCCACCTGCACTAACACAACTAATGGGTCTGTTCCCATTTCCCGTCATAATATCATTAATGTCGTTTACTATATCACCAACTCCTGCTCCCTGATAGCAAACCCTTAACCTGTACCCACTATCTCTGGCACAAAAAGCTGTATCCAAATACCTCATCTGAGAATCTTCCATAACCAAAAGTTATTTAGGTACTTCCTTTACTTTCTGAGCACCCTGAGGGACCTGCGCTAACATCGTTGCCTTCCCTTTCTAGCGAACTGCAGGCTCCCCACAGCACTCGCCCTCCAACACGGGGAATGAGTTTGAAGTTCTTAGTATGTCTGTAGGCGGCTTTGTCATAGTGTCCTTAAGACTCCTCTCTGTTACGACATTCCTGTAAGACTCCTGTACATCAGTAGCACTATGCAACTGATGTACAGGAGGCCTTAACCACTCGACCATCAGTGACCGTACAAAAAAGAGGTGATAGCCAAGGCTATTTGAACCACCTCCCCGACGCCACTTTGATGGTAATTGTGGGCATGGTATTTGATCAAATCTCCTATTTTTTGTGGGGCTAGGTGAGCAACACAAATGTGAACAAGCCTCAATGGTCCCCAGGCATATATGCAACTGAAAACTCCACACCTCAGAAGTGACTCTAACCCATACTGCCAGGAGCAGTATTTCAGTTGTGTTACTCATGTTGTCGCATATATTATATATATATATATATATATATATATATATATATATATATATATATATATATATATATATATATATATATTGGTGTATACTGGCAGCAGGTTTTCTTTCAAACATGTTTCATTGAATATGACCGCATATTCTGTATTTATTATTTTCTGGTTTAGGGCTTCTATCCCTCTAACTATTTTCTTAGCATCAGGGCTTAATTGAAATAGGAGTTCTCCAAAACTCATTTTCGTACTTTTAAGGTGAAGAAAAGAAGTGATTTACTATAGAGTGTATTACACTTATTTGTATAATTTGCACGACGTTTCGAACCTCCATGGTTCATTCTCAAGTGAACAGATCTTACAATGCTAGTTGATTTTATACCCGCATTAGGTCAGGTGATAATACAATGAAGGTGAAAACATGGGGGGATACATAAGGGATAAACATAGGGGCTGCAGAAGGCTTATTGGCCCATACGAGGCATCTCCTATCTAAACACAAAGATTAATCCAGTGTAATTGGCCTGTTATGTTGGACATTGTCTTCTGTGTTGGCATCGATATGTTCTTGTCTTGTCCTTACTCTCATGGTGGGTAGAGTAAATAGTTCCGTGATTTGGGTGTTCATGGTAGGTCGCTCTATTCTTATGTGAATTGCCTCAAGAATTTGTAATCTTCTTGAATCTTGGGTTTTGTCTATTATGCAAGTATTCTTGTTCAACATTTCTCTTGTTAGAGTAATGTCATGGGCTTGTCCCATGTGATTCCTAGGGGCACCAGATTGAAGATGGCATGTCAAACGCCTCGTCAGCTTGGTCGACGTCATACCTATGTACTTACATTGAAGGTTACATCCTTCGTGGGGGCAAGTGTACATGTATACAACGCTTGACTGCTGTAGAGGGTTCTCCGTCGGCTTCGGGCTGTTTTTGATAAGGAGTTCGGAAGTCTTCTTGGTTTTGTAGAATATTATCAGGTTTATGTTTTGGTTAGGAGTAGTGCTTTTTACTCCTTTACGGATTATTTCTTTCATTATTCTTTCCTCTTTTATATGTTCACTGTGCATGGTTGATTTGTAATATAATTTTATTGGGGGTGTTGTGGTTTCTGTTCTAGGTTCTGAATTATACCAACGGTCCAAGTGTCTTCTTATAGCAGCGTTTATTTCCGCGTTGCTATATCCGTTGTTCACCAATACCTGAGTTACTCTTTCAAACTCTCTACTCACGTTGCTCCATTCAGAGCAGTGGGTAAGCGCTCGACGAATATAAGCATTGAGAACACTGGCTTTGTATCTTTGGGGGCACTCACTTCTACCGTTCAGGCATAATCCTATGTTGGTGGGCTTGGTATATACGTTGGTGCTTAAAGAGGTTCCTGTTTTTGTTATTAGTACATCCAAGAATGGCAGACTGTTATTTTCACTATTTTCATGTGTAAATCGGAGTACTGACTCTCTCTCTAGGTGTCTTTTTAGGTCAATTAGTTCATCTGAGTCTTTTACTATTACGAATATGTCATCTACATAACGGCAGTATACAGTTGGTTTTTGTCTGCTACTGAAGACCCTATCTTCGATGGTTCCCATATAAAAATTAGCAAATAAAACTCCTAAGGGGGAGCCCATTGCTACTCCGTCTATTTGTAAATACATGTCTCCTAGTGGACTGATGAAAGGGGCTTCCTTTGTACATGCTTCGAGAAGACTTTTCAAGTGTGGCTCAGGTATGTCTAATTTGGGGGTGCTCTCGTCTCTGTATACTCTGTCCAGTATCATTCCTATGGTTGTGTCGACTGGGACGTTGGTAAAAAGGGATTCAACGTCCAGGGAAGCGATGATTCCATCGGGCTGGGTAGATTTGATCAATTCTAGGAAATCTGCTGATGATTGTAGACTAAACTTACTTGGAGTGTATGGAGTTAGGAGTTCATTGAGTTTCTTTGCCAGGTGATAAGTTGGGGAGAGGTAAGGTAAGAGATATGGGGAGACCAAGACAAACGAGTGTCAAGGAATAACCCCAAAAGCTTCGCGGAATCTTTGTACTCAAGGGGATGACCATAAAGTGACAAAGAGGGACGAAGAACAACCCGTTTCCGCGTAAAAGTCATGGCACAAGTCTTAGAAGTAGAGAACTTGAAGCCATGATCTGTGGCCCAAGACGACACGGCATCAATTGCAAGTTGAAGCCGGCGTTGAAGGAGAGGCGAATCATCACCCTGACAACAAAGGGTAAGATCATCGACATAGAGAGCGGAGAAGACACCAGAAGGAAGAGAGGAAAGAAGACCCTTGAGGGCAACCAGAAAAAGAGTAGTGCTCAGAACACTACCCTGGGGCACACCTTCGTATTGCTGAAAGGAGGGAGAGAGAGCGGTACCAAGGCGCACCCGAAAGGAACGACGAGAGAGGAAGCTGCGGAGAAAGAGAGGGAGATGACCACGAAGGCCAAAAGAATGAAGTTGAGATAGGATATGATAACGCCAAGTGGTGTCGTAAGCCTTTTCCTGGTCAAAAAGGACGGCAACAACGGAGGTCTTCGCAGCAAAAGCAGTACGAATATAGACCTCCAAGTTCACCAGGACATCTGTCGTGCTGCGGCACTTGCGGAAACCAAATTGAGAAGGGGAGAGGAGGTGATGGTGTTCCAGGAACCACATCAGACGAACGTTAACCATACGTTCAAAGAGTTTGCAGACACAACTTGTGAGAGCAATAGGGCGAAAGTCCTTAGGGGAAGTACCCAGAGACCCCGGTTTGCGAACAGGGAGGACAACGGCATCGAGCCAGTCCTCAGGGACTGACGACGACTCCCAGATCCGATTATACAGACGCAGTAAATACTGAGACGTGCTCGGAGGGAGATGGCGAAGCATCGCATAATGAATACCATCGGAGCCCGCCGCCGTAGAACCGCAGAGGGCCAGGGCAGAACGAAGTTCAGAGAGAGAGAAGGGATCATTATAGGGAAGCTGAAGATGAGTGCAGAAATCTAAAGGACGAGACTCAAGGACA